TGCTGAGTTTTCCAAATTTGCTGGCATATTGAGTGAAGCACTTTCACAGCGTCATCTTTCAGGATTCAAAATAGCTCAACTGGAATTCCATCACCTCCACTAGCTTTGTTTGTAGTGATGCTTTCTAAGCCCACTTGACTTCACATTCCAGGATGTCTGGCTCTAGGTGAGTGGTCACACCATCATGATTATCTGGGTCATGAAGAACTTTTTTGTACAGTTCTTCTATGTATTCTTGCCACCTCTTCTTAATATCTCTGCTTCTGTTAGGTCCATACCATTTCTGTCCTTTATCTAACCCATCTTTGCATGAAATGTTCCTTTGGTATCTCTAATTTTCTTGAAGAGATCTCTAGTCTTTCCCATTCTGTTGTTTTCCTCTATTTCTTTGCACTGATCACTGAAGAAGGCTTTCTTATCTCTCCTGGCTATTCTTTGGAACTCTGCATTCAAATGGGAATATCTTTCCATTTCTCCTTTGCTTTTCGCAAAACAAATGTTTTTATCCTAAAAACATGCAACTATCTAAAGACCGGTCCCACCAGAGTCCCTGGAGCACAGAGTGCCTCACTCCGCCCTGAACTCCCTCTGGGGTTGTTGAAGGTTAATAGCTACAGCAGCGTGGAGTTCAATCCCCCAAGGGGCGGATGGCAAATGTCCTTGTTGTTCAGTCATTGGCAATGATCTTGTTAATGCCAATTTGTAGTTGACAAGGGGAATCTTCCCAACCCAGGAATCAAGCCCGTGTTTCCTGCATTACAGGCAGATTCTTTCCGACTGAGCTATGAGTGCACCCAAGAAATTAAAAGATGCTTGCTCCTTGAAAGGAAAGCTTTGACAAAACAAGAGAGCATACTAAAAAGCAGAGACATCACTTTGTTCACAAAGCTCTGTATGGTCAAACTTGGTATTTCCGGTAGTCATGTACACATGTGAGAATTGAACCATAAAGAAGGCTGAGCTGTGAAGAATTGATGCTTTTGAATTGTGGAACTAGAGAAGACTCTTGAGAGTTCCTTGATCTGCAAGGACATCAAAACAGTCAATCCTAAAGGATATCAACCTTGAATGTTCATTGGAAGGACTGATGCTGAAATTCCAAATACTTTGGCCACCTGATTCAAAGAGCCAGCTCATTGGAAAAGGCCCTGATGCTGGGAAAGAATGAGGGCAGGAGGAGAAGTGAACAGCAGAGGATGAGATGGTGGGATGGCATCACCGACTCAAGGCACACGAGTTTGAGCAAATTCAAGGAAATAGTGCAGGGCAGAGGAGGCTGGCAAGCTGCAGCCCATGGGTTTGCAATGAGTTGGACATGACCATAAAACTATTTTTGATAGTCTCATCTTATTAGATTGGGAAACAAACCCTATATATAAGGCAGGGAGAAGATAATATTCTATCTTGGTGGAGGGAAAAAAAAAGTACACTTTGATTGGATAAAAGACTTGGTATCTAATTTCCAAGAATATTTGTACCCAACACCCAATTTAAACCATAGAGAAAAAGAAGGATATACTAAACAAATAAATTAGACTACCTATATATATATATATATACACACACACATATGGCAAAAACATAAATTAATACAATTTTAGTCACAGTAGGAATCCTAGGGAGAAGAAAAAGCAGTAAAAAGAAAACAAAACATCATAAATCTAAATTACAATATAGGGAATACTTTGGAGGAAATATTTTGCAAAATGAGCCAAAGCAATATTTCCCACCCACGTGTGTGATCTTGGCAGTTCTTCCTGGGCCTTTATGACTGTCAACCGTTATGGTGGAGGACAAGTGATGCCTGTGATTTCTGAGTTTAGAACCGCACTGTGTGGAAGGCCAAGCCACATGGAAGCCACCCATGTAGGTGTCCTGACCACAGGTCAGCTGGGATCTTTGCTCACAGCCAGCTCAACCACCAGACACGTGTGTGAGGAAGTGTTCAACCGCTTAAGTGAGCCATGGTCTGTGAGTAAGCACAAGAGACACCCAGAGTGTCTTACTAAGCCTACTGAGCCCAGTCAGAATCGAATTCCAAAATTGTGAGAGACAATAACAAGAAATGATTGTTGTTTTATAAAATGACATCTGTATACCCTGCAAATTTTTTAATTGAAGGAAAAATATTTATTTTTTTGACAAACAAAATCTTAGACAATTCATTATGAGTAGACCAGCATTACAGAATGTGTTAAAGCAACGCTTAGGACAGAAAGTAAATAGACAAATAAAAATTGGTACAGAGGAACAAAGAGTTCCAAAAATAATAAAAAGTGTTTTTTTTTCCTTTTTGTGAAACTCTTTGATGGGCAATTAACTGTGTGTAGCAAATTATGTTGCAATGTATTATGGAATTGTAGGAAAAAAACAAGGGTGCATGGGACAGAAGGATGAAAAAAGCAAGAATATTGAGGTCAGGTTTTATACTTTACTTCAAGTGATATAGTATTGTCAGAAGATACATATTGAGGAGTTAAAGATTTATTGTACATTCTCAATACACTGAAAAAATACACAAATAAGAAGTATTTAATTCAACCAGTTTTTAATTCACCAGGTTTTAATTCAACAGTTGAGTAAAACGAAAACATGAAAACTCCTGAAATAATCCGAAAATACAGCAAGAGAAAATTTAAAAAACATAATACAGATTGATCAAATATAAAACCAATAGAAAGTTAGAAGATCTATGCCAGTCATATCAATAATACCTGTCTGTGACTAACATTATAGTGATTTCCTCACTCACTCATTCTCTCATTTATTTACCAAATATTCATTGAGTCCGCACTATGTGTAATCCCTGTAGTCCTGCTGAGAATTCAGTGGTGTACAAATATCAGCATACCAGCTTTCAAGAAGCTTTAAATACTGTAATGGGCACAGATATTAAAGTGTCAATTAAAATACAGTGTAATATGTTTCTTTAAAAATAGAGTGGGTCAGGGTGATGGTTCACACCATATATAAAACCAATCAAAATGGATCAAAGATCTAAGTGAAGTGATAAACATATAACACTCTTAGAACATCATAGGAGTAAATTTTTGTGATCTTGGATTTGCAATGAATTCTTAGATCTGATGCCAAAAGCATGAGCAGTAACAACAAAAATAGGCAAATTGGACTGCATCAAACTTAAAATATTTTGTGCATCTCAAGTCAACTATCAAGAGAGTGAAAAGAAAACCTACGAAATGAGAGAAAATATTTGCAAATCATACATCTGATGAGGAAACTGTCTCTAGAATATTTAAGGAATATTTATAGCTCAATAATAAAAGACAACCAATCCAATGAAAAAGTGGAAAAAAGACTTTAATAGACATTTTTTCAAAGAAGATACACAAGTGACTACTAAGCACTGAACACATGCTCACTATCATTCATCCTCCAGGAATCAAAACTGCAGTAAAACATTAACTCAAATCTAAGAAGGCTGTATTCATAATACTAATAGAAAATCAACAGCATATGTTTCAAGAATAAGGAGAAATTGGACCCCTTGTACATTGCTGGTGAAGAAGTAAAATGGTACAGTTGCTCTGGAAATAGGTTTGGAGGTTCTTCAAAAAGGTAAATGTGGAATGACCTTGTATGCATGCCTGCTAAATTGCTTCACTGTGTCCGACTCTTTGCAACCCCATGGACTGAAACCCACCAGTCTCCCTCTGTCCGTGGGATTCTCCAGGCAAGAATACTGCAGTGGGTTGCCGTGCCCTCCTCCTCCAGGAGACTGTCCCAACCCAGGGATCAAACCCAGGTGTCCCACACTGCAGGCAGATTATTTGCCATCTGAGCCACCAGATGAAAAAGGAATGAAATACCGAAACACAGGCAGTGTGGATGAATCTTGAAAGTATCATGCTAAGGGAAAGAAGCCAGTCACCAAAGGTCGCATATTGTATCATTCCCTTTATATAAAATACTGAGATGTTAAATCCAGAGACACAAAAATTTCTATTAGGAGTTACCAGGTCCTGGGGAAAGGTTGTAATGGGCAGTGAGAGCTTAGTGGATATGGGGTTTCCTTTGGGGGTGATTAAAACAGTCAGAAACTAAAAGGAAGTGATAGTTGTACAGCATGTAAATGTGCTAATAACCGCTGAATTTTACATGTTAAAGTGGCTACTTTTGTTCTATAAATTTCCCTTCAATACAGAGAGAGAGAGACTTAGAGGTAAAGTAATTAAATGCCACGCATAGATATTGTCTCTACAATGCATCCTAATTCAGAAAAAAAAAATTAAGTTTAGTCACCACATAGAGGAGTAATAACCTGGTATTGGATAATATTAAAGAATTATGTTTATTTTTAAGTGTGATATGCCATTTTAAGTATTTTTAAAAATTCTTACAGTTTGAATAACAGGATGTGTAAGATTTGCTACAAAACAGACCCAAAAGAGGAAAGGGGCTAGGAGGTAGGGAATAATTATATTGGCACCATGTTGATAATGACTGAAGCTGCTGATATGTATGTGAGGTTATATCATCCTCTCTGTTTTTCTAATGTCTGAATTTTGTCATGAAAACAAAAAAGTCTTTGAGGGAGAGACTGTGCTTTGTTACCCAATATGCAATGCATCCTCAGCGTGAAGTGGATGCGCCACAGTGAACATTTTGCAAATATTCTATCTGCTGAGCACATATTAACTTTTCTGTTCATGCTGCATTAAAGTGGAGAGTTCTATTAATTTATATTATTAAATAGATTTATCATTTAAAACCACTCTAGCCATAGTGAAGCAGCCATCACGACATCTGAAACGTCATAAGCCAAGTCCCCATGATGGGCATAGCCTCACAGCAGAGGTGACCCAGAGGACACAGACTCCCTGTGCATGTAGAGCCCCCAGAAGACTCACTGTCACCTTCCCAGAGGTGAGCAGTTGGGGACAGGCAGAGTGGATCCTCAGTGACCAAGGCCCAGGCTGCACCCAGGGACCTGGGCACCTCACTCCTTAGGGAGGATGCCCAGAGCTCAGAGTGGAGCTCTAGGCTTGACTGGGGTTGGTGACTTTCCCCAAAAAGATGATGCTCTGGGTGTCTTTGAGAACTATGGCAATCAGGAAGGGCCTGTCGAAACGCACAACGGTTTTCCGAAAGGCCAAAAACACTATGCTGATTCCCGTGGCAGCAGCTCCTTCCGTACCCTCCTCATCCACGTCCAGCGCAGCGCTGTGGACCACCTGCGGGGACACCAGAACATTAGCCACCAGAGACGGGGTGGGCGGAGGTGAGCAGCCACCTAGGGCCTCGAAGGGGGCTGACATTCACCCCCCTGCCGCTAGCCTGCACTCTGGTGTCCTCCCAACAAACTGCCCACTGTTCGCATAGTTGTGATATGCAGACATGCAAACTAAAGGCAAGGTCTATGAGTGATGTGCCCAACATCAGAGGCAAAGAACAGGACTCACTCTCCTAACCCAGAGACTGTGCTGCCTCCGAGGACCCCCTAGTGCAGGGGGAGGGGCCAGGTCAAGGCATTTTTCTTGCAGGCAACTGTCCACAGTCCCTCCAAGTCGAAGCAACTGATGGGCGAGCACTGCTTTCTACTCCTCTCCGCCCCAGCTGACGTGTCCCTGAGCCCTCAGCCACCTTGCCGAGGATTGGCTTCCCGTCCCTGGACCACGAGGCCCCAGAGCCCCTGTGTCTCCTTCACCAGGTCCTCTCACAGGTGGGGTGCAGGGGAGACTGCGGGGGTGCCCGCCCCTCCCCCCACCCCACCATTCACTCTGACTTCTCTGCCTCTAGGACCACAGGACCAGGACACTGGGTGTTCCACTCACGGGCTCTTAGTGTATTTTCACCATGATTCTTCATAGACTTTGTTAGTACCTATAACCTCTTACCTGCTCTGCTAGGCACCAAACAGGAACCAAGAACTATATGCTCCCTTGAAAGATGAAAAGATGGGGCATGGAGAAATGTGATCATTCCCCTCGATAGGCAGTGAAAGATGGAGCCTGACATGGGCTCCACTGTTGTTTCCACTCTGGGTCCTTCCCAATGACGGGCTTCTGTGTCATTTTATAATTCAGGGAAGGTGGGACCTGATGTCACCATGATTGCATCCCAGCTCTCCTGGGCTTGGGGAGTCCCAGGGAAGGAGACTGAGTCACAGGGAAAGCATTTATTTTACAAATTCCAGATGACCTGCCATCTGCCTGGCCTCCACGTTTCACGCTCTGATAGGAGGATGAATCGTCCACACTTTAAAGACTCACCTGCCAGTTTCCCAGTCCCTGTGACTCCCGAAAAGTCAGCGTCAGTGAATATTTTCTTAATACCCATCTGGGAGAGGATGTTATTCAGCACATAGTCGCTTTTGATGGAAAATTTTGGCAGGTAGAGTTCATCTATTTGTCTAGGAAATGAGGAAAATAAATTTGAACACCCGCTTGAAAAGATGTCTGCCTTTTCTCACCTCACAGCATGGTCTTCCAAGGATTCCTCTTACCATCCCCCTTCTCCCTGGAATAAAGACTCTTTTTCTCAGTTTCTAGACCCCTCGGGCTGAATCTGCTTATTTTGTTACTTATCTATTCCAACCTGCAGGAGTCTAACATGCCAGCAGGCACAGGGCAGGGGGAGGTTAAGGAGTCTGCAAGGCCCCACGTGGCCTGAGTCCACCGGCGGGGGACCCTGCCCTCGGCCAGCATCCCCTCTCGCCCCTCTGCCCTCCTGCTCTGGCCTCACTCATCCTCAGCCACACCAGGCTTGCTCCTGCCTCAGGCTTTGCCCTGCTTATTCCCTTAGCCAGAAACAACTTTTCCCAACACACCCAGAAGGCTGGGTCTCTGACCGCAACATCACCTAAGGGCCACCCTATTTCCGATCACAAACTACCTCTGGATACAGTTTTCTTCACCCTTTTACTGTGCTTTACTCTCCCCACCTCCCCATTTCTCCCCTTTCAAAGTACTGAAGAATTTACATTTCTTTCCAGTCTGTCTCCCACAGTTATGGAATGCCATGAGGGCAGAGAATTTAGTGTTTTATTTGCTGATCTACCACAGGGTCTATGTTAGTCCCTGAGGCATAGTAAGTCCTCAATTAATCTTTTCAAAAAGTGCTGACTGGATGAGTGAATAAATGAGTGAATATAAAGGAAAGAGTGCAAATATGGTCGTCAGAAGCCATCACACCTGAGCCCTCACCTAATTCTATCTGATCCTTTTGAAGAGGGAAAATTAAAATTTTTCATGATCTCCTGCTCATTCTGCCTCTGTAACTCAGCTTGCTTTTTGCAAAGCCTGGATCATGTAGATCGCGAACTCTCAGAAAATGGGGACTTTCATTACTAGGAATTGGAGTTTATCTCACTCTCCCTTGTTCAGCTCTTTGCAGTTTCCCAGTCCCTGCAAACCTGCCTAATCATGCCTGTCCATGTAAAGGCCAGGCATCCTCCTCCCCATCTTGACTGCCCTTCTCATGCACACAAAACCCCTTGGATTAAACCGGCCCAATAACAGCTAGTGTTGTGCACTGTAGTCTGCTACAGTCTGTCTATAAAAACTCTGTAACCCCTTTGCTCAGAGCTCAGAGCTTAGAGTTTTAACTCCTCTGGGCTGACCGGAGTAATAAACCTGAGTTCTCCAACTCTCTTAGTGTGGTTCTTGGTTTCTCGAATATCAGTTTCTGCAACACTTACTCCTTCAAAACGAGGAGTCGTGGGGAGAACATGAGTGCTGGGGGTCATGTTGAGTCCTCATGACTCAGCCCTTCTTAGTGTGAGGCGAACTTTCAGGTCCCACCCCCTCAGATGTTATAATTTTACAGAAGGATTCAAGCACTGAGCCAGGCAGGCAGCAAAGAGTAAGGTCATCGGGGATGGACTCTCCCACCTCTGCCCCCGGACCTGCACATTCCTGAGGCCCAGTTGCTAGGCTTCAGGAGTCCACGAAGAGGGGGAAGGACCGAGAAGGCAGGTGAACCCAGAGCTCTGGGTCCAGGGCAGTCACCTGGGCTGCAGTGATTCTCGCCACCTCGTCAGGGTCTCCGGGTTCAGCTTGGCTTCCAGGTCCTGCATTTTGCCCTCGTCGGGGAGGATGAAGAGGGCGCTGTCATTGCTGGTGTATGTGAGCTCCACCAGCGTGCAGCCCAGCTCCTCGTCCCGAAAGTAAGGGGTTTCCAGGTCAAGGGTCATCGTGGGCACCTCCACCGTCTCGTTCTCACTCACGTGGAACTCTGCCTGCTGAGTGTGTTTGGGGTCAAAGCGGGTCTTCCACTGGGCTGGAGGCGGGGGGACAGGTCAAGAGTCTGTGAGTGCAAGAGCTGAAGTCACTCCCTCCTCGGTCCTGGTCCCTGAGCGGGGAAGACCCTCCCCACGCCAGCAGCCCCCATATCATGGACCTCTATGAAGGGCCTGCTAGGTGTGCACATACACCTGGGCAGGTGGGTAAGTCCAAGGGGGTGGGGGTGAACCCTGCAGGTCAGGATTGGGAAGCGGGATACATAACAAAGCTGGTTAGTTGTGCTAAAGGTGAAGTCAACAGGAATGTGGAGGACAAGGGAGAGATGGGGATGAGACTGGGCCTGGGGAGATATGGGACCTCCTGGTCCTTCATGGGGACATGTTTGTGACCAGGGGTTGGTCATTGGCTTTGTAGGGAGGACACACGTCCCCACAGCCTCGTGAACCAGGTTGAAGCTGGACCCACACAGGGACCCGGAGGGCAGGGTGGGGTCAACAAAGGAGGGGCCTTGGGTGTCCCCCAAGGAAGATGGAGACCTTAGTGCCAGAGGGTCGGCTTCTTGGGAAGAATGGAGCCCTGGGGCTTCTTGGAGGATTTATCCACCCCTGCTGCCTGCTTTGTTTCCACCCCTGCCTGTGTCCCCATGGTTAGAGACAGGAGGAGAGGGAAAGCTGGGCTGGTGGGGGTACCCCTGGGGAGGACAGGGCCCTGGGACAGGTCAGGGTGGTAGGAAATGAGAGCACCGAGAAGTAAGGAACAAAATAGTAGATCTGGCCTGGATTATTAACAATTTTCTAGAGAACTGGGAATCTATGCCTTCATTTACAGAGAAAAACACAGATCCAGGAGGGCTGCCCAGGGCTCTGCCAGGAGTCCCCAGTTCAGGGCACACCTGTCCCCTCCAGCTGGTGTCCCTTAGGCACCTGGCCACCCCCTCGCTCAGTGACCATCCTTTGTGTCTTTATTCCGTGTCCCTCTCGCACCGCGGGCTCCGCGTGTGAAATCTTTCTGCCTTCACTCTGCCCCTTACGAGTTTCCAGGATCAGGTTTGCAGTGCTGGGTTCCTACCGATGGGGCTGGGCCCTGGACCAGCTAGAATCTGGAAGAGTCTGTCCTGGACGTTGTCCTTCCCTGAGGCTTCCCTCTGGGGTTGGTGTTGCCTATGTTACCCTCATGGCTATAATGGAGCACAACTGAAGTTCCTTGAGTTGGCCAGGCTGCTCAGACTGTCATGGCATGAAGTTGTCTACCAGCGCCACCTCCACCCACTGAGACCAAGTCTCCTTGGAGGGAGCCCAGGTCAGACACAGCCCGCAGAGTGCGAAGTAGTGGCCTTCCCTGCATGTGTTAAAAGAAGCTGGGGTTCCCAGCCTCTCTGGAGTGACCTTAGAGGAAAGCCCCTTCCTACAAGCAGCCTGGCAAGTGTGCAAATAAAAAGGTTCCCTGTGGGTTAGATGGTAAAGAATTTGCCTGCAATGTGTGAGACCTGGGTTGGGAAGATCCCCTAGAGAAGGGAATAGCTCTCCACTCCAGTATTCTGACCTAGGGAATCCCATGGACAGAGGAGCCTGACAGACTACAGTCCACAGGGTTGCAAAGAGTCGACTGAGTGACTTTTGCTTCACTGTGGCTCAGATGGCTCCCCTGCCCTTGTGTGCTGCAATGGCAGCTGTGATTTAGAAAACCCCCAAATAGACAGACTATGACGGGGACAGGGTCTTAGTGCCCAAGCTGTCCTCACTGATGACAGCTCCCTCTATAATGCCCAGCAACAGAGTTGGCTGAGCTGAAATAGAAAGAGCCCTGAAGACACAAAACTAAAGGTGCATTTCCTTCCGACTCAACAGGGCACCCACCTTTAAAGTAGATGTAGTTCACTAGGACCAACACTGTGTTTGGAGAAAGGAACTTGAACAGCTCCTCAATTTTCCCCTGGGTTTTATTCTTCACATAGCCGTTTATTAGACTCTTGGCAGCTTCAGGATCCCTGAAGTTGGTCGAGAAGGCATCGGAGGAATATAGCACCTGGGCATCCTCTATGAACTTGTCTGGCAGCTTCAGCTGGTCCTGCACAAACATGGCATTGCCCGCTCTCATCTGCAGCTCATTACTGGCTGGATTGAGTGTCTGCAGGAGGTGCTGGAAGCCCTGGTGGATCTCTTTCTCCTGGATCTCCGTGAGGTTGAACTTGAGACCTTGCAGGATCTCTGTCAGGGTGGGGCCACGAGCCCCCAGGGACAGGAAGCCCAAGGCTATGGAGATGCTCAGAGGGGAGAAGATGACGTTCTTATTGGGGTTCTTCAAAGCCAACTGCTTGTAGAGGCTGAAGGCGAAGTCGGTGTTGCTGGAGGCTAATGTGTGGTCATCCACCCTTCTGTGTTGGTCCTTCACCATCACATTCTCCGGGAGGCTGTGGACACTGCAGATCCCAGCCAACAGGAGCCCCAGAGCCAGAAAGGGAGACATTCTCTCTGCCCTTGTGTCTGAAAAGCAAAGCTCCTTAAGTCTCCGTGTATTAGATGACATCCCAGCCCCCACCCACTGTCCCCCGTGGTCTCTGCTCTTTGGCCCTGCTGCTCTGTGACCTCCCAAGGGTAGGCACCCTCCTGGGCTCCCAACACACACTAGGAGGCTCTGGGCTCCCGCTCACCTTTGACCAAGTGCTGTGACTGTTACAAATGTCCCCAGTGGAGAGACTGGGCACAGAGGGGAAGGGGCTTTTCCAAGGTCTCACAGCAAGCCTTGGAGAGAGTGAGGGTGAGGAGCCTGGGGTGCCTGGCTCCAGGGTGGGGAAGCTGCTGATGGGTGTGAGGTGCTGGCCAGTGAGAAACCATCCCACTCCTCCCAGGAGCTGAGACCGTCAGAGGGGCCTAGGAAGCTGAGCTCCTTTCCCACCATGCCCCTCTCTGCTCTCCCAGGAAGGAGCCCTGCGCTCATCAGAGGACACTGCACCTCTCCCCGCCTCTGAGGACAAGGGTGTGACCTCAGGGAGGCTCTCCCGTCGAGGTGCCTGCTCACAGTGAGGGTTCAGGAGAGAGGCCGTGCAGGCAGCAGGCGCTGTGCCAGAGCTTGGCTGCCCTGAGCAGGGCTGGTGCAAAGAACGAGGAAGCTAGAGTGTTCTTCTCAGCCTGTGCTATGTGGCTACATTGAAGGTGTTTCCATCAAGAACCTGGAAAGGCCTCCTAGTGGGGAGAAGCAGGTGACCTCAGAGTCTCAGACCTGGTCGAGTATTTCGTTTGGACCACTTGTGAGTGCTGTGTGGTGACGAGCAGTGACTGAACCTCTCTGATCCTCAGTTCCCACCTCCATCCAACATGTGGAACGGCTCAGGTGATGGACAGGATGAAGGTGCTGGGCTCCTAAGAGGAGTTCCAGACGTGTCACCCCCTCCACTTTTCTAGGACTTGTTCTAGGCTTGTTCTAGGACTCAACAAGTCAGACTGTGATTCCCAGGGGACAGAGGACCAAGCTACTGCCCAGAAGCCTCAGGAGAGACTGAGATCAAATTGGTGACCTCAGCAAAGAGGGCTGTTTCCCTTCAGCCTCTGCCCCTCATCTCAGAAGAGAGAGAGCTGCTGGGGTGGGAGTGCGGACGGGGAGAGACACAAGAGGCAGAGGAGGGGAGGAGACTGGAGGGGAGAGGAGGAGGGGGTGTAGGGGAGGAAGTCTTGTCCAGAGACAGGGGGGAAAGGCCTTCACAGAAGCCTGGGGAGAGAGGTGGTCAATTGCCTAAACTCTCAGCTTACTCAGGAGTGATACAAGGGTTTTTTCCAAATGAGTTAACCGTTTTCTTCCAAAACTATTCCTGGAGTATTCATTTGTTCTGGTTGCAGGGTTGTCTCTGCTTCTGAGCAGTTTGCCTTCTCAGTGCTGGACAGACTCAGCTCCTGTCTGCTTGCCAGGGTCTCTGGAGGGACACTGGAGCCCAGGAAACCCCCCGGAGACTCCGCAGCCTCTGCCCAGAGGGACCCACTTCTCTGATTCCGTCCGCAGGGCTCTCTGAGAGCAGCGCCCTGTGCCAGGCAAGGAGACGCAACTCAGGGCCTTGGCGCAGCTCTGACTTGACGCTGGATGCACAGCTGGATGGATGCACAGCTGGCTCGAATCACAACCCCAAAAACTCAAAAGCAGAAATGCCCCCAGAAGCCCTGGTGGCACGTCCCTCCCTTTGCAGGATGAACACTGAGACCCAGAGGGAGGAGTGGTCTTCAGAGGTCTCAGAACCCTCCAGGATCGGACACACATCCCTCCGCCTCCCTCCTGCCTCAGGTTCTACCAACCCCTGACCAAGGCCAGAACCACCCTGGGAAAGGGGTCCCTTGGCTCCCAGTGTGGGAACATCACGGATTACCTGCCTGTGAGAGCGGGATGTGGACAGTGGATCCAGAGCCTGCCCAGATAATGGAGTTTCGTGACTTTGTCTATTTATCCTGCAAAGATCTCTTCTGTGGCTTGCGAAATGTAGGAGGGAACAAAACCTCAGACTAGAAATGAGCAGATGAACATTTCTGGTAACAGGATTCATTACACTATGCAAACAATCTAGTTACCTAAATAGGTTTTTTTTTTCCCCCTTAAAAAATAGCCAGTAAATAAACCCACACAAAAATCTTTCCCATGTTAGAGTTTTCTTCTGTTTATGAAATACTCACTGGGGAGCATGTGACAACTCAGAAAACATCAAATAGATCATTGAAAACCACTTGAAATTATTGTTCTTTTTAAAGAGTATTGACTCTTTTGGGAGCTTTATTCGTGGTCTGATATCCTCTTTAAGGATCATGAAGAAACCCTGAAAATGTAGAGAAGGATTTGTGAAATATTTCCCAGAACGCTATCACCCAGGCAAATCCAAGTTAACACTGTGTTGTGTTTATTAGTCACTTTCCTTTGAAGTGTGTGTGTGTGTGTGTGTGCACATTTGCATATGTGATAGAACATGATTTAAAATGCAATACTCTCTTTGTTTAGAGCTTGATTTGCAAGTTGAAGCACTCTTCTCCCACAACCACAAAAGCGTTGTGAGTCTGAGGTTCCCAAAGAGTGTCAGGAGTACAAGTGTCCGGGGCCTCTGGTCTCCAGCACCATCTGTTTGGGGGACCTGCAGTGACTTGGACATCGCCCTGCTGTCCTTCACTAATGGTTCACCCTAGGAGCTAATTGTCCTCCCTTCTTGACCTTCAGGTCTGCTTAGGTGTCTCAGTGAGATAACTTCAGGGCTCATGGGAAAAACCTGTGCCTTCATCCATCATAGTCACATCCCTCCAGCCATGACAATCCCTGGCAATCCCTGCCAGACTTCTGGGGACCTCTGGGGTTCTACCAGCCATAGTTTGCAAACCACTGACTTAGTGATGTTGGGCTTCCCCGATGGTTCAGCAGGAATAGAATTTGCCTTTGATGCAGGACACCAGGGTTTGATCCCTGGGTCAGGAAGGACCCCTGGAGCAGGAAACAGCAACCCACTCCAGTATTCATGCCTGAAAAATCCCATGAAAAAAGGGCCAGAGGCTAAGGTCCAGAGAGGTTGCAAAGAGTTGGACACGACTGAGCATGACGATGGCTTTGAAGTGAAGGTATGGATTTGGCATAAGGTACGCTTCAATCCTGAAAGTACAGCTTACCCGCTCTGTGATCCCATGATATTTATTGAAAATCTGTGGACTTTAATCTCTTTATCTCTAAAATGCAGATAAGAAAGTTTCCCTGACTGGAAAGAGGTGGGGGAGGTGTGTCTATGAAGAGTTAGTCCACACTAGGTGTAAGCTCTCAGTTCAGTTCAGTTCAGTCACTCAGTTGTGTCCGACTCTTTGAGACCCCATGGACTGCAGCACAACAGGCCTCCTTGTCCATCACCAACTCCCAGAATTTACTCAAACTCGTGTGCCTTGAGTCGGTGATGCCATCCAACCATCTCATCCTCTGTCATCCCCTTGTCCTCTCACCTTCAATCTTTCCCAGCATCAGGGGTTTTTCAAATGAGTCAGCTCTTTGCATCAGGTGGACAAAGTATTGGAGTTTCAGCTTCAGCATCAGTCCTTCCCATGAACATTCAGGACTGATCTCCTCTAGGGTGGACTGCTTGGATCTCTCTGCAGTCCAAGGGACTCTCAAGAGCCTTCTCCCACACCACAGTTCAAAAACACCAATTCCTCGGCACTCAGCTTTCTTTATAGACCAACTCTCACATCCATACATGACTACTGGAAAAACCATAGCCTTGACTAGATGGACCTTTGCTGGCAAGTAATGTCTCTGCTTTTTAATATGCTGCCTAGGTTGGTCACAGCTTTTCCTTTCAGACCTTTCAGTTCTTTCCCTTCCATGTCCTTTCAGTCTCCAGTAATTTCCAGAACTGTATATTTTGAAGTTACAGACAATACTAAAGAAAATAGTTGCTGAGACAAGACTACAGCTGATTTTTCTTTTGTTAAGTCCTGATATTTTAAGCAGTGGGTTGACATGTTGATTCCAATTTGCCAGGGACTCAGGCTGCTTGTATTCTTCATGATTTTTGTCAGGTCCCAGAGGGCTCATTGGCACATCCACCTTCCATTTAAGGATGGGAGTCAAGAGGGGAAGCTGGCTTGAATCTCAACATTCAGAAAACTAAGATCTTAGCATCCAGTCTCATCACTTCATGGCAAATAGAAGGAGAAATAGTGGAAGCAATGACAGATATGATTTTCTTGGCCTCCAAATCACTGTGGACAGTGACTGGTGGTGGTTTATTCGGAAGTTGTGTCCGACTCTTGTGAGACCAAAGATTGTAGCCTGCCAGGCTCCTCTGCCCATGGGGTTGTCCTGGAAGAATACTGGAGTGGATTGCTATTTCCCTCTCCAGAGTGTCAACTAAAAAATGATGTACAACTTGAGAGTTGTAAGTTAAGTTTTATTTGGGGCAAAATGAGGACTGTAGCCTTGGAAGCAGCATCTCAGACAGTTCTGAAAAGTCAATATATAAGGTTTTGGTGAAGGGGGAGTTCAATACCATGAAGCATTCAATGTATAAAAGGTTTTTGGTTAGTCATGAGGGTCTGATGTCAACTTGAAGGGATTTAGAGCTTCTTAACTTGGATGCAGTCTCAAAAATGACAGAATGATCTCTGTTTGTTTCCAAGGCAAACCATTCAATATCACGGTAATCCAAGCCTATGCCCCAACAAGTAATGCTGAAGAAGCTGAAGTTGAACAGTTCTATGAAGGCCTACAAGACCTTTTAGAACTAACACCCAAAAAAGATGTCCTTTTCATTATAGGGGACTGGAATGCAAAAGTAGGAAGTCAAGAAACACCTGGAGTAACAGGCAAATTTGGCCTTGGAGTACGGAATGAAGGAGGGCAAAGGGTAATAGAGTTTTGCCAAGAGAACTCACTGGTCATAGAAAACACCCTCTTCCAACAACACAAGAGAAGACTGTACACATGGACATCACCAGATGGTCGACACCAAAATCAGATTGATT